GGGATTTTTGGGAATTGTTGGGGAATTTTTTGGGAATTTGTCGGGAATTTGTGGGGGATTTGGGGGAATTTTTTGGGAATTTGGGATTTTTGGGATTTGGGGATTTTGGGGGATTTGGGAATTTTTGTGGATTTGGGATTTGGGAATTGTTGGGATTCGGGATTTGGGATTTTTGGGATTTGGGATTTGGGGATTTTGGGGGATTTGGGAATTTTTGTGGATTTGGGATTTGGGATTTTTGGGATTTTTGGGATTTGGGAATTCGGGATTTGGGGATTTTGGGGGATTTGGGGATTTTGGGGGATTTGGGATTTGGGATTTTTGGGATTCGGGATTTGGGATTTTTGGGATTTGGGGATTCAGGATTCGGGGATTTTGGGGGATTTTGGGGGATTTGGGATTTGGGAATTGTTGGGAGTTTTTGGGGAATTTTTGGGGGATTTCGGGGAATTGTTTGGGGAATTGTTGGGGAATTTTTTGGGAATTTGTGGGGATTTGTGGGGGATTTCGGGAACATTTCGGGGACATTTCAGGGACATTGTGGGAATGTTTTGGGAAGATTTCGGGAAGATTTTGGGGTTATTTTGGGGATATTTTGGGGATATTTCGGGAAGATTTTGGGGATATTTTGGGGCTATTTCAGGGATATTTTTGGGATATTTTGGGGATATTTTGGGAACATTTTGGGATATTTCGGGGACATTTCGGGGATATTTTGGGGACATTTTGGGGATGTTTTGGGGATATTTCGGGGACGTTTTGGGATATTTCGGGGATATTTCAGGAGCATTTTGGGGATATTTTGGGGTATTTCAGAGATATTTTGGGAACATTTCAGGGATATTTTGGGGACATTTTGGGGACATTTTGGAGATATTTTGGGGATATTTTGGGGATATTTTGGGGATATTTCGGGGACATTTTGGGGACATTTTGGGGATATTTCGGGGACCTTTTGGGATATTTTGGGAACATTTTGGGGATATTTTGGGGATATTTCAGAGATATTTCGGGGACATTTCAGGGATATTTCGGGGACATTTTGGGAACATTTCGGGGACATTTTGGGAACATTTCGGGGACATTTCGGGGATATTTCGGGGACATTTCGGGGATATTTCAGGGACATTTCAGGGATATTTCGGGGACATTTTGGGAACATTTCAGGAACATTTCGGGGACATTTCGGGGACATTTTGGGGCTATTTTGGGGATATTTCAGGAACATTTCGGGGATATTTCAGGAACATTTCGGGGACGTTTTGGGAACATTTTGGGGCTATTTCAGAGATATTTTGGGGATATTTCAGGAACATTTCAGGGATATTTTGGGGATATTTCAGGGACATTTCAGGGATATTTCAGGGATATTTTGGGGATATTTTGGGGATATTTCAGGAACATTTCAGGGATATTTCAGGGACATTTCAGGGATATTTCAGGGACATTTCAGGGATATTTCGGGGACATTTTGGGGACATTTCAGGGATATTTTGGGGATATTTTGGGGATATTTTGGGGACATTTCAGGGATATTTCAGGGATATTTCAGGAACATTTCGGGGATATTTCGGGGATATTTCGGGGATATTTCAGGAACATTTTGGGGACGTTTTGGGGTATTTTGGGACGCTGGGTACCTGCAGCTGGCGCAGCAGCTTGGCGCTCTGGCGGCACT